AGTCCCATCGGGCCCCAAACATTATTTTACACAGTCTAAAAGACACTTTGCTAAATAAAAATGAAACTCATAGCCAAATCCAACAGGATTTGTCCACATGTGAAGTGTATTTTTTTAATTTTTTCAAGTGATTTTTCGAAAATGTGAGTTTTTTTTCTGAAACAGACAGACGATGAGAATTTGATAATTATCAAGTGTAGGAGATTCAAAGATGAAATAGTGAGTTATGTGTTGTGTATTTTTTATTTTTTTCAAGTGATGCGAATTAATTTAGTAAAATGCGTGGGGGAMWTTTTTTWAAATTTAAGCATTTCTTTAAGAAATTTTTAAATGTTTTTTGCAACTCTAGAAATTTTTTAATCCAATACATCTGACACTTTCTTAGTCTCCCCAACTGTCTTTTGTAGCACAATGTTTTGAAACGTCTCGAATGACATGTTTTTAATTTAAGCATTTCTTTAAGAGATTTTTAAAAGTTTTTTGCAAGTCTAGAAATTTTTTAATCCAGTACATCTGACACTTTCTTAGTCTCCCCAACTGTCTTTTGTAGCACGATGTTTTGAAACGTCTCGAATGGCATTTTTACAACTAAATTTAAACATTTCCTTAAGAATTTTTCTTCTTTTGAAAATCAAAAGTCAGTACATTTAACACTTTCTTTTTACTTCAAGCCAAAGTAATCCGATTAACCCAAAGTGGCCTAAAGTGACCTGAACCGACCTGAAACTACTCGAACTGACCCAAACATTATTTTTTTAAATCTAAAATACACTTTACTAAATAAAAATGAAACTCTTCATCAAATCCGATAGGATTTGACCACATCAGCTAGTTTTTATTATTAATTCATGACAGTGTTGTCCTTTTCTAATTCGAGTSGAAAACATGTCCTTGAGTTGGCTATTTTCACTATTAAACTAGATCTTTATGATGGATTTTTTTGTCACTAACTAAAMCTGAAAGGATGACCGAATGGTGTAGGCGCTATCCGATTACGATTGGGGGGCTATTAAAAATGCGGCAGTTGATTTAATTTTGAGATTTTTGACGTTTTGGGTAAATTTATTTTAGAAAAAGATAAAGAAAAAAATCACGGGGTCTGTCACAATTACCTTTCATTGGCTAGAATTTTTTCAGAGGTTTATTGATTTTTTCCGAAAAAATTCGACAACTGTCAGTCTGACGTTTCTTTCGTGTCATCGAAATGTGTCGTCTAACAAAAGTGCTCGAAATTGTTTTATAATCGGTCGTGATTTATTTAAAACTGTTCAAGTTGGATGTGCAGTGTCTATTTTTTGCATTTTGGTGAGTGCCGATGGAATTTTTAATAAATTGTGTGGGTCTCAGTGTGGCCAGTTACGGGGTAGCGTCGGTCTGAGACGGCGATACAATTTTCGATAAAAATGCATAAAATCTTATTTATAATTGGTAGGTGGTGGTTTGTGAAACATTGTCCAAAACTCGAAAGCCCCCATATAAACGAAATTTCGCCAAAAAACGTTTTATTTACAGTTACCTGTCAGGTGAGAAAATTTTCTCTGAAAAATTCAGAGACGTGTTGATTTTAGTTGAGAACTGTCAGTCTAACGTTTTTTTCTGTCATCGAAATTTGTTGTGTAATAAACTGCAACAAAAGTGCTCGAAATCCTTTTGTAATCGGTTGTGATTTATTTAAAAGTGATCAAGTTGGATATGCAGTGTCTATTTTATGTGTTTTGGTGAAGGCCGATGGAATTTTTAATAAATTGTGTGGGTCCAAGTGTGGCCAGCAACGGAAGCAGCGGCCAGAGACGGCGATACAATTTTCGATAAAAATGTATATTTTATTTAAAATTGGTAGGTGGTGGTTTGTGAAACATTGTTCAAGACTCGAAAGCCCCCATATAAACGAAATTTTGCCAATTTCAAGAAATTTGARGTTACCTGTYAGSTGAGAAACGAGAGCCGCGGATTTTGGGCCATCGAAAGGAACCTATCTAAAATAGAAATTATACTTATCTGCTAACATAAAAGAGCAAGATGGTAAGTCGTCAAGTGTCGTTTAGGACTTTAAGAGCCCCAAATAAAGAATGTCTAATTTGAGGTTATGAGTTATGACGCATAGACACAGATTACTTGCAGATTGGACACTCTTCCAAACCACAGATTATCTATTTTACAACAGATACGTCACTCTTCTGAATTAAAATAAATTCGGCGTCGCCGTGATCTCGGTGGTCGACTGTGATTGGCTAACCCAAACTTATGCCGTATTTATGAAAGATTTGGATTAGCTTATTTGGTGCGATTGTTGGTACTAATGCATATGTTGCCAACCGAATTCCCTAAACTTTTACTTCGTGCTTAGTATAATAGTAAAATGTGTAACACAACCTTAAAATTGTTTATTATAAGATTATAAAATGTGTTCATAARTGTTTAATTACACTWTTAAAATAAATTAAACGAAATTTGCTGCATTTTAAATAGCTTCCAGTAAATGGTTAAGGCAAAAATTGTCTTTCTCTTTTTGATTACAATTTTGTTTAATTAATAGCCGCTACATTTTTCAAATTTAACGAAACCTCACAGCGCGCTACTATAGTCTGTGCTTTATTGCCATGATAACTGACATTTAAATACGCACTATTCAATATAAAAAAAATTGTTAAATTATCAATGTATTTTTTTATTTAACTAATTTTTGTGTATTTTTTTTTTGTGTTTTAAGTATATACCAAGTGAATAAAAATTATGGAACTAAGCGTTTTTTCGTAAACTAACCACTTAACTAATTAGTGTAGAGTAAAGTACAATTAAAATGTGACCATTTATCAAAAATAACATTTATCGAAATTTATTTATTTATTTTATAAATGTTAATGTAAAATTTAACAATGAAATCTAATGTCAAAGATGTAATTTTTATCA